ATTTTGAAATTATCAAAGTAATATTATTGTAGAAAGTCGTCTTCTGGGTTTTGGCGCCGTGTATTCTTCATTTCTTCTGACGTTCCTCCGAAACGTCAGACAAATGAAGAATACACAGCGCCAAAACCCAGAAGACGACTTTCTTCATAGTCATCGCCGTGAAAACCTCAAAACTTACATAATATTATTGTGGTCAAAAGCCGGTCGGATCGTTTGTGTCGTATGCTCTTCCTGAAAAGTTCGAAAAATAAATGTAATTAATTGTTGATATTTAAAGCAGAATGAAGTTCCAAAAATTTTGGAATGTGTATGTTACTCGTAAGGCCGAAGTAAACAGGCTGACTTGTATATACAAGGGGAAACTGTGCAGCTCTGGTGTAGCAAGAAAATCCAAATATCTTTGCCATCTCTGCACTACATGCATTCCGAATTCTAAACTGTTACAGAATGTTGCTAGCTGTTCCATTTGCTCCCCCATGAAAGTATGCTGCTGTGACGTCAGTCTATATGAGAGCCGAAATGCCTCTACCTCCACCATAGGGAATAGTAAAGGGAACGTGTACATGAAATCGCAGAGAAGTTGTCTGCCTTGCAACTCCTGACCTCTCGGCCAGAATATTTGCTTAGCTTCAGACAGGATCAATATATTTATTTTTGTCTGTGGTTCTGTATGGGTGTGAAACTTGGTCTCGAACATTAAGGGAGGAACATAGACTGAGGGTATTTGAGAACAGGGTGCTGAGGAGAATATTTGGACCGAAGAGAGATGAAGTGACAGGAGGTTGGAGAAAACTGCATAATGAGGAGCTTCATAACTTGTACTTTTCTCCAAGTATAATTAGAATGATCAAGTCAAGGAGGATGAGGTGAGCAGGGCGTGTAGCACGAATGGGGGAGAATATAAATGCATATAGGATATTGATGGGAAATCCGGAAGAAAGAGACCACTGGGAAGACCAAGTCGTAGGTCGTTGGACAATATTAAGATGGATCTTAGAGAGACAGGTTGGGATGGTATGGATTGGACTGATCTGGCTCAGGATAGGGACCAGTGAAGGGCTGTCGTGAATACGGTAATGAAACTTCGGGTTCCATAAAATGGTGGGAAGTAAGATATAGCAGCTGACGATAATGGCAAGTTGAGGTGTCACGTATTATTATTATTATTATTATTATTATTATTATTAGAGGGGGTGGGTTTCCCCATGCACCGCGACTAATAGTCTATTGTACGCCCCCCTTTGATATTCTACCAGTCGCCATGCCCTTCCGGTACTGGTGCTTGCTATAAGCCCCATCTTGCCAGCGAGATCAGCCACCTCTCTGGCAGTGGTCCCCGATACTTCCCCATCTACCGGAGGAATTGGAAACTACTTGGGCGAGAAACTTCGCCTAATTTTTGCTCAGAGGTCTCCTAGAGACATGAGGATCTTTTATGTGCCGTAAATCTACGACACGGGACACACGGCTTAAAGTCCCTCCCGGAGGACTTGTTCCCTGAAATTTTCCGCCCTTAAAAGTTCCAAGACCTCCGCCGGGTTTGAACCCGCGTACCTTGAGTCATGAGGTGGGAACGTTACCCCTAGACTACGGAGGCCGCACGCGTCACATAACCACGTGATTAATTAGTTGTACAATGTTGTATGTCAAACAGTCTTTAGGATTCGGATTCTTTTGTTCGTTAAGTGTTTTTTTATTAAGAAATGCGAAGAACGGAAACACGCTCAGAATTCTCAGTGAGGAATTTTGAAGATCACGACTTTTTGAATGATAGTGTCTGAGGAAGATGCTTATGTTTTTCAATAAGATCCAAGAAAAAATGCCGAAGTTTCAAACGGAGAGGTTCTCAGAAACAAAAAGTGGTACGAATGTTATAAATAGAGGACAAAACCATACTGATATCGCTTTCATAAAGATATATTCGACCACTCATTGTAGCTTCAGAATTTTGAACATCTGCAGCAGTATTTTCGTCGAAGGAACCGCATCTTTGTTCAGTAAATTTTATGCCATCCTACATAGAAAACTCCACGGAGAAAAATCGTTCTTGAGAAGCTAACAATTGCGCAGCTAATCAAGATAATCTCCACTGGTTACCATGTCCACAGCAGGCCACCATTTGGTCTCTATTAGGAGTAAGGAGAATCCATTTCACATCATCACATTCCATTTGTCGAAAAGTAATTTTAATATTATACTCTCATCTACTATTAGATCTCATAAGTTGTCTCTTTCCTTGAGGATTTTTTTTTCTTTGGAGCTACAGCCCCAGTGGGCCTTGGCCTACCTTCATGAAACTCTCCGTTTTATTTCGGTTTACTAGATCTTACTCATTCGGTAGGACTCCTTGTGTGGATGATCAGCCCGTCGCAAAGCTTCTACCTGTATACAAACACAGAAAAACGCACACACACACTCGCAAACATTCGTGCCCTGAGTGGAATTTTAACCCACGGTCCTGGCTTCCGAGCGAGCGAAGAAAGTGCATGCCTTAGACCGCTCAGCTACCGTGACCGGTCTTTCCTTGAAGTTATCCGGCATTTTGTGTGGCTATCTTATCTGTATTTTGGGTACTAAGTACTGTTCATCTCACATATCTTTATACGTTCACTTTAATGACACACCATGAACAGTTCAAATTATGCAATTTTCCGTTTGGATTTCTGTTCAGCTTCCTGTCACTTCCTTCCTGCCAGACCTAGTCTTCCACAGTACATTCTGAATGTACGGATTCTAGCCCAAAACAAATTTACTAGTGAACGAATATCCATTGCACTTATCTCATTTATTGGCATATATTCATGAAAAATATCACTTTGAATCAACTGATGACATTCAGAAAAATACAATTACAGCACTTAGAGAACTTTCGGAAAACAATTCCCAGTGTTGTTGCCGGTCATGTCATCTGCGATGTGACTCATGCATATGGTCAGAATATCACCATGTTCACTGCTTATTAGTGACAATATATTTTGTTTGAATTGTTTTCGTACTTTAATTGTTAGATCCCGTAAGATAATTTGTAATATCTGAGATCTGGAAATTATCTCAGCGCTGTCTTGATTTTCTGTATAGTCGCAGACTTACTTATCGAGCATGTACACTTTAAGAAGGAAGGGGCACTAATGTCTTATTTTGGAGAGTGTTTCTGTGTACATTTAATGCTCCTTGGGGGCTCGTTAAGAACCGTATCAGGCCAAGGGAGTTGTGACGTCATAACATTCAGTTGGCAGGCTACTTTACAACTTGGTTATGGGGATACGTGGCAGGTTATTCAGGAAGAGTTAAAAGTCTCCACTGTCTCTTTCGAGAGAGAAATGAGTTCGGTGACCGAACGGAAGGTATGTTAATGGTATGGACAACACACTTGTACCATTCTGTACTCTTTTATGGAAGTATGGAAGTGTTATAAAAATTCTTTGCTGAAAGAGACGCTATTAATATTCTGAAGTAGTCTGCCTTATGAAAATATTTGAAAAGCTTATGAACAAATGAATATATGGTAATGAAGTTGGTGTACTTACCACACCGACCACCACAATTCACATCTTTTTAAAAGTTAATTATGTCCCACAGCTCAGGCGGTTAGTCGCCAACCCGCGTTCTTTCCCACGTCATGTCGAGTGGTGAGCAAAATGGCACTAGGGTAGGTCTGTCCGAGTAGTTCGGTTTCCAATTAAAATCCCACCGGAAGTTCCATACATCCTGGGCTCTATTGTAGACCCGATAGAGGCCGGCGTACCAAGTGGACTCAGTCTCACCCCACTCCAAAATTAAACGAAAGGAAGAATGAGACCTTTCGGTTGCTAATTCCTTGTTTCTTGGTTAATTTAATTTCTCGTTGTTATTTGCATTCCTATAAAACCGATACCAGATGGTCTTTCTGGGATTTAGGCGGCCGAACTTTGAAAGGGGACACTCACATCCATGTAGTGTCGAAGTTTATATGCGTGAAGGCCGCTTCCTGTTCTCACATCGTCCATGGAGTCTGAAAAAGTAAAGGGTCAACTTTCCGTCCACTGTATTTGGCGAGCGTGGAAGTCTGCTTGTCCCGAAGTGTGATAAAGAAACTTGGACGTGGATGCATACTTTCGTATGATTTAAGGGAGATTAGGATTGAGCACGAAATGTTAGTGTGAAATGTGAGAAGATGACTTGAGAGGCCTGCTTCGCATGTACAGTGCGCTATTAAAATAATTTGTATTTATCATACGAACAGGAGCAATGAATAGCGAAGTCGGTATAGAGACTGGCTGCGGGCTGACGATCTGGGGTTCGAAGTTCGAGTCCCGGTACAGTCAAGAATGTCCTCTTCTCCACGTCATCCAGACCGGCTCTGAGGCCCACCCAGACTCCTATCGAATGGATGCCGGGGGCTCATTCCCCGGGGTTAAAGCTACCGGGGCGTGAGACTGGCCATTCCACTCCAGCTAGTGCCGAAGTCAAGAAAATGTGGCTCTATACATCCACATCCCAATACTCCTTCGATGCATAATGCTTAGTAACTTAAGCACAGGGACAACTTTACCCTTTACTGTATATACTATTATACGAACATTGTCTTGGATCTCATACATTGTATGAGATATAGCGGACATACACGACGTTTCGGAAATTGGATCAGAACTGGAGGCTCGGAAACTGAGTCCCTCTAAGGGAGGGAATATCATCATGTCGAACCTTCTTTAGAACCAGCCCATCCTCCTATCCTTTTGACTCCAGTTGTTCTTTGACTAAAATAAAATTGGTTAGAGCGTATAGCTATCCATTGCTCTTCATCTACTACTGCTGTCTATAATACATGGAGCCACACCTCCACGTCCCTGTAATCATTCACGATTTGGTGTTTAGATACAGAGGCAAGTCACTTCAGTTATGCTTATCCTCTTCTCGGGATCAGGGTAGATATACAGTAGCTTTGTTCTGTAGCTGACAGTTCGGGCATTATAGGTTTGACGTTGTTTTAAACGTATGATGCATGTTTGTGTTTGTTACAGGAATGGAATGATTATAAGCTGAAGTGGAACCCTGATGATTATGGCGGTGTGGAGACGTTGCATGTCCCGTCAGAACACATCTGGCTGCCCGACATTGTGCTCTATAACAAGTGAGTGCCACGTCACCAGAAAACAATTGATTGTCTGTCACTCAAGCAACCGTACAATTAGTTAGCGCGTTGTCACAACATTTATCAGCTGCTATGTTAGATTCTATAATTATGAGTAAATACATTCGACGAACTTCTATCAATTCCATGCAGCCTAATGTACTATGAGAATCTAACTGTGACTCAGCTGGTCACCAAAACGAACGTGTTCACAAGAGCCCATCACTGGAACTTATGTTGAACCGCCTCAGCGCTATCCTCGGCTTCATGCACAGTTTCTTTGCGATATGTCCGAGCTTACTCCTCGTGCATGTTTAGGCCCTCCAAAAGATCTCTTCAATTCCAATTTTACACTAACTTTTGTACGTGGCTTACACCTCCGCTTGCAAGTTACATGTATGGAAAATACGAGTGTTATTTCTAATAATATTTGTCTTCTCGTCTGCTGTTTAAAAAAAATAGAATATACAATTGTATAATTTTGCCTGTGGTTCTGTATGGGAGTGAAACTTGGTCTCTAACAATAGGGGAGGAACATAGACATTGTGGTTAGCCGTGAGTTCTGAAATGATGACCTGTTCAGCAACGGCAGTAGGTTCAAGTATCTCCAATAAGAGACCTAAAGCATCTGTTTTAATGCTTTATTGATCTTCTAAGAGAGACGTGGGTGGAAAAATTATGGTTTGTATGAAGCAGTTTATTTCCCGAACTTGCAACTTTATTTAAATAAATATTCATGTTTACGCCTCAGAACGTTTTCCAAATCGTGTACTTCTTTATAAGGGAATCTTAAGTGTGCACTCATTAAGCTTTGTAATACTGTAATATTTTAAGTGGTAAATGATTTAAAAGCTCTAAAGTCTTTTGTGAGATCAGTCATCACGCTTTTATGCTGGAAAGGACAACGAATTCAACGAATCTGTAATATGTTCCAGTGCTGACGGAAACTACGAGGTGACCATAATGACAAAGGCAATCCTCAATTACACAGGGAAAGTGATGTGGAAACCTCCTGCCATCTACAAATCGTTCTGTGAAATTGATGTCGAGTACTTCCCTTTCGACGAACAGACGTGTTTTATGAAGTTCGGCTCCTGGACGTACGATGGATACCTGGTCGGTAACACACAATTCATTTTTAGTTAATGAAAGCAAATGGACAGAATTTACAAATTCGAATGTATACTCCTGTTTATGACAAGGATATTTCTGAAGGTTACTGCCCTCTGGGGTGTGACACAGCTTGCTGGTAGCGATCTATAGAACTGTACGGTGTCATGTACCAGAATCCAGTAATCTTTAATCCTAAACATGTTTACTATCAGTGAAATTCTTAATTCTGTTGATGAGTCGCTCTCTGATTCTGTCTTATGACATCCAATGACAAGAAAATTTAAATTTAAAAAGTTCATCTAGCCAAACGTTACGGACGAACGGATAATGCTCCTGCAGTGTATTCGAAATATCACGGTTTCGAACCTCTGCCCGGAGGCAGAAGACTCTGACTGATATTTTCTTGAGTTTCCTCATCACATTCAGGTAAATGCAGAAATAGTGCATTTAAATAGGTGCCTACCTTTCCCTTCCACATATTTTCAGTGCACCATACTCCAACTGCCGTGTCATTCAACGCTATGATATATGAAGAATTGAAATATCCGTTAAATGAATTAACAATTAATTAAAAGTATAAAAGACGTGGCTGTGTTTACGTGTATTCGGGAAATAATCCAGACATTTTCTTCATAAGAAGAAAGCAGTCTTCTGGGATGTGGCACCGTGTAGATGTGGTGTAGATAGGTAGATATTTGGGAGGAGTCCTTGGGTGAGGATCGACCAATCGCGAGGCCTCTACCTACACAGTACAACACAGATATACGTCCACAGCCAGAGTCAGATTCGAACCCAAAACCATAGTATTCGAGCAGTAGAGGAGAATACATGCATGAGATGGCGCGGTCACTGCGTTCGGCGATATTTTCTACAATTGTAATACAGAATTCCAGTCTTATACCCAATTCTGGGTCTTCTACATTGGATTAAGTTCATTTTCTTTCATTTGCATAGTGGGGAGTGGAGTCCAGTTGGGTCCACTCGTCATGGCGGTCACTGATTTGCCTATTGTACCTGCCGCTGGTGATTATGATGATGGAGAGTTTTGTGGAATAAATATTGGCAGGGGAAACCTAAGTACTCGAAGAAAACCTGCCCCAGTGCCACTTTGTCCACCACAAATTCCACTTGACCAGACCCGGGCTCGAACCCGGGCCGCTGCAGTGAGAAGCTAGCGACTAACCGCTTGACCTATGGCGCGGCCCCTGGATTAAGTTTCACAAAATATTGTCCCTGAAGATTCACTTGGCTTCACCATCACTCTAATTTCGACTTTACTTCTTTTTAAGTTAATTAAAAATATATGTTTTCATAAAAATCTACATGTATTTATTGTGTCTTATATTTGAGCTGCATATTAAATGTCTTAACTGTATGGAACTGTGGGCAGAAGAATTGTTTCGCGTAACGAAACTTTATTCTTCTGAAAGGCGAACAGAGGAGATGCAGAGCTACAGAAGAAGGCTGCAGGGCACATCTCCTGAATGATACGACCCCCTGGCCGCAAGGGTAAAGAAGAGCGAAGTATGTTGCTACTGCGAGCTCGGAATCTTTATAGGTTATGGATGTTTGTGTGTCTTCATCATAACCTTGTCAATTTCAGATTCAATGATAAGCTACCCCCCCGGTGCAGACTTGTACCGGTTCTCTCGGTCTTTTCGCTTGCTGATTTTCTTATTTTTTCCTTCTACCCTGAAGATGGAGGCTATACGTTCCTCCGAAACGTCGGTTAACACCACATCTACACGGTGCCATAACCCAGAGGACTGCTTTCTTCTTAGTCACCGCCGTGAAAAAGTCAAATCTTACATTTTCTTCATTGTTCCCGTGTCCACTGAATTCAGAACATTATTTCCAGGATTAATAAGTGGCCCTCGTACACATTTGTCTTTCTGCTTCATTCCTTATTCTTCTCTTAGCTCTGCAAGGATTATGTTTTCATTTGAACACTGTTCGTTACGAAACTACTTCTTCACGTTTTTCAAGCTCAATACAAACTAACAAACGCCACACTGAGTCAGTGAGTGATCCGGGCTTGGATAAACTGAAGCGAAGAAGGGGGGGGGGGNNGGGGGGGGGGGTGTACTGTGTACTGTGTACTGGGTACTGTGTAGGTAGAGGCCTTGCGATTGGTCGATCCCCACCCAAGGAGTCCTCCCAAATATCTACCTAAAAGATTTCTAAACCTGGAAAACAGAAGGCCTTGAGGTAAAGTTGTTGTAATGCCCTAGAAAAAGGAGAGAGTTCCGCTAAATATGTGAAATAAAAATGTTAGTTCACTAGTAAATTAATTAATAATTGGTTAATTCGTGGTATAATTTGTTGGCTGATTTATTAACCACTTGTAACTCAGTCTATAAAGCGGCTGGAATCGGTTCCTCAGAGGAGAGAAATTTTTGCAACATGACTTCCCCCAAATTCATTCTACATGACACCTATTCGGGGACATTCTTAAACTCATTTCAAAATGAGCTGCATACAATATAATTCGCAAAAAAAAATTCAAAATGATTCTCTACATGTGACAGAAAGTGAGGGGTAGTACAATCTTTTCATTTTGTGATCTTCTCCTATATCAGTAACTTAATTCGATCATTTTGCAAAATATTTTCGTTATTTCGGTAGTAATTTAATTCCGTCATATCCAAAGATCATCTCTTGTAATTCGGTTATTTGATATGCGGCTCCATTTAAAACTTACTTTAAACTATAACACAATATTAAAGCAGATTAATATGTACGAAAAAGCTTTCGACTGTATTTATGCACGTTCAGTTACATCACCGCATACACAAATCCATGTTCATACGGGTACACAAGCACACACATACTCAGCAAATGGATGGCATTGTTGAGAGAGTAATGCCACTAATGCAGAGAACAAGCAACATAATTTGTAATTAGGATCCTAACCGTATTAGTGTCTTGGTTTAAAATAGAGTCACGGAAGCCGTTATTTAACTGAGAATTTTAGGACTACTTTTCCAAACCAATAATTCAATATTTTCAGGTCTATGGGTGACTAAAGACCGTGTTTGGATTGGTAATTGGATTTACTAACCACCTACAGGTTGTAACTGCAATTAATTATTACAGTATTGCTGATTTCCACAATTTACAATCACGCCACACTAAATCGTCTGTCTATCTGCAGTAGTCCTCACGGATTTATAACACAGGAACCATAACAGTTTCACTGAATCACAGACTCCAAACATTACACATAAATAAAGTCTTCAAATCACACGTTAAGTCCTCACATGCTGACTTCTAATTCTTCTTCAACTACGAACTTCCCGTGGCTATCTCCTACCGAGAACTGACTTGTTTGTTCGCGTACTTCTGTCGTTGCTACTACTCCTAACTCACAACTCGTAACTCGTTACTGGCAACGAATTCTGTCACTCTTAGGCTAGGAACACACACAGCGACATAGGCCGTACGACGTCCGTACGGTTCATGTCGCATCAAGTAGTAGAATATAAAGTGTAGTCTTAGCTTTCATACGTGACGACATGCGACATCTACCGTACGGCAGTCGGAGAGCAAAGAAATGTGTTTGGTCGCTCTAGTGTAAAAGGAGGTTGTACGGCAAAAAAAATCGTACATTTTTCCGTACGACCGATGTTGCTGTGTGTGTTCCTAGCCTTACTTACATAGCCACGGAAAGACCATGGACCTACAGTAAACATATACAGTAGAACTTGGTTATAACGTCATCAAAGGGACCTAAAAATAGTGTCGTTATAAACGAATGTCGTTGTAACCGAAATGGGCACTTCCACAGTAGCCTTATGTTAGTCACGTAAAAATCTACCAAAAACCGAGTTAAAATGTTGCATTTTTTAGTGAAATACGTAGTTAAGTACAGACTAACGTAACATTAACGTGGAATTGCCCAAATGTGTAATATCAAAGACATATTACAGCGCTTTTCACTGACAATACACACAATATTTCACGAATCACTTTAACTTTCTCTTCAATGCTTAAAACTTTCCTTTTCATTGCCATGTTTTCGCTACTGCACTTCTCTGGGTTTAGGCAGGAACACTATAGGGTAAGTAGACAATGTGAGGTCCTGTTAGACGAGATTCTAGGAAAGGAATGCAGTTAACAACCTGCCGCGTCCTCTTGCACTATTCACGCAGTCCCACCCCACACCCTTGTTTTCGCATAAAACCCACGCTCCTCTTGCAGCCCGCGGTCGTATTCTTCCAGGACAGTCACGTCAGCAAGTAGAGAAAGTGAGGGTGGGCAGACACATCGAACTTTCCCACGATATCAGAGAAATTCAGGAATGAAAATGACGTTACATACGAGGTTGATACATTTGTGCATGTCGTACTAAGCAAGGTATAAGAACAGTTGCTTTATGAGGAATTAGTTCGTACCATTGAATATTTGACGCAATAGACAAGGTGTCGCAGAAACCGATGTTGCTATAACCAAGTTTTACTGTATCAAGTGATCGCTATCCAGCCAGTCTATTGGCGCGTCAGTCGGATCTACAGAAAACGCAACTTCCTCTATTCTTTCATATTGGACCGTGTTTACAGAGTTGTTGCCTGACAACGCGTTGATCAAATCTATTACAATATTCAGCTCCATATAAAGTGTAAGCTTTTAAGCAATTATTTAACACTGGTCATTTTATCGTCAAATGTTTCTTTTAATTTGTGAATTTATGTAAATTACATGTTAAGATGATTGATTTTTGGTCAGCCACTACCTACAATTTGTAGTCACTAAACCTTACATATTTCAAAACATTAAATATATGCGCAAAATTATTGCGACTAAAATTTTGAAATAGAGTGAAAACTCTCTAATTTTGACTTCACTGATTTGGAATTCGCGGTAATTCGGATCACTATTCAGTCCATTTCACAATTAATTCCAAAGAGTTGATGGAAGGCTATAAAGAGGGCTGACACAAACGTCACAGAAAGTCAGCTTCACGTAATTCAACCGAACCGAACATTTTCATGGTAGTTAGATGAAGGGGGTTACGAAGATCTTGGCTTGGAGATCGGCTGCAGTTGAATGCATTTCTTTCGACTGAAACAAGTATTTTCGAGAATGGTTATGTGGACTATCGAGCTAGTTAAAAACATTTAGGAGGTGAATATTGCTTTCGTCTTGATGTTGATGGAGGCAACAGATTCATTGGAATCACCGGCAACCACCTGCCTCATTGCACGGTATTTCATCCCAAAGGCTGCAATGTAGATATTAAAATACACCTTGCAGTGGAACCTTGGAGATAGGGGTTTCGAGATTGGGTCCAATGGAAAGATTTTTAACAGAAAGATATGTCCGCATTTCCCTAAACCTACCACCGTAATTGTCTGTAATATTTCTACATCTGAATACAGAGTGGCTCATGATTTCTGTTGCGATTTTAACGACTGTTCGTTACTGTTTTGTCAGCGTAATTTGTGTTACTTCATTTCACAGCTGGATCTGCGCCACATTTCCCAGTCCTCGGACTCGGATACCATAGATATGGGGATCGATCTCCAGGACTATTATCTGTCGGTGGAGTGGGACATCATGCGAGTGCCAGCAGTACGTAACGAGAAGTTCTATAGCTGCTGTGAGGAACCGTATCTTGACATCAGCTTCAACATCACTCTCCGCAGAAAGACGCTGTTCTACACCGTCAACCTCATCATCCCGTGTGTCGGTATATCGTTTCTTTCGGTGTTGGTATTCTACCTGCCCTCAGACTCTGGAGAAAAGGTCTCGCTCTGTATATCCATCCTTCTCTCACTTACAGTGTTCTTTCTTCTGCTCGCCGAAATCATTCCTCCAACCTCACTCACCGTTCCTCTCCTCGGCAAATATCTACTTTTCACCATGGTTTTAGTCACTTTGTCAGTAGTGGTCACCATAGCTGTGCTCAACGTCAATTTTCGATCACCTGTAACACATCGGATGAGACCCTGGGTACACCGTTTGTTTATCCAGTTACTTCCAAAAGTGTTATTTATAGAGAGACCTAAATCAGAAGATTCAGTTGATGACGAAGAAGACGAACTCAAACCGCCAGAAGGAGTTCTAACCGGGGTGTTTGATGTTCCTTCTGATATGGACAAATATATGTCATATGGAGGGAAACGGTATAGCGCGGACTATGCTATTCCAGCTTTGCCTCCGTCACGTTTTGAAATGGCAGCGTCAGGCGATGGGCCTTGCTTCGGTGACCCCCCACTGCCACTTCCGGGAGCTGATGATGACCTCTTTAGCCCTGGAATAGGATGTGTCGCCGGTGCAGCGGCAGCAGTGTGTGGGGCTCACGATCAGAGTCCAACTTTCGACAAACCGTCGCATGAAATGGAGAAGACCATTGAGGACGCTAGATTCATCGCTCAACATGTCAGGAACAAAGACAAATTCGAAAATGTGAGTATGATTTACCTTATTCTACAAGGAGCTGAGCCCTTTTTGAGAAGACGCCAATTCTGCAGCTACTCAAGAAATTCCCAGCATTATATGGACACCGAAGGTTCATTATCGTGTTCACAAGAGCCCTCCACTGGTCAGTATATCCTGAGCCAGATTAATTCAATCCATACCATCCAATCCTATCTCTCTAAGATTCATTTTAATATTCTCCACACACCTACGTCTTGGTCTTCCCAGTGGTCTCTTTCCTTCTGGCTTTCCCACCAATATCCTATACGCATTCCTTTCCAACCCATTCGTGCTACATGCCCTGCCCATCTCATCATCCTTGACTTGATCATTCTAATTATACTTGGAGAATAGTACAAGTTATGAAGCTCCTCGTTATGCAGTTTTCTCCAACCTCCTGTCACTTCATCTCTCTTCGGTCCAAATATTCTCCTCAACACCCTGTTCTCAAAGACCCTCAGTCTATGTTCCTCCCTTAGGCGGGTCCCTTGTCACAACGGCATGGCCCGTCCTCAGGTTCGACTTGGACGAATTCTCTGGATAAACGACCTAGGCTAAAGAATATGGACGTGAGATTCGTTACTAGGAATGTTAGAAGTTTGTATTATTAAAAGACATAAAGTAAGAAATAGCTGTGTTGCTTCTATAAAGTCCACTCAAACTGTGAACGCAGGAATTCTGGGAAACAAAGCTTCTTTACGTGCTCCTGAAAGCGTAACTTCATTAATTCTGTCTGAGTGCTGTGTAGAAAATAGAAAGCGGCGTGCTGGAAATTGTGAAGGGGCGTCCCTTTCCATGTGCAAAGGTTGAAGGAAGACGTCGTTACTTTATTTTAACATAATATTTATATCGAAATGTAACAAGTAGTCACTATATGTTGAAAAAGATTGTAAATGTTGCATAACCAGTATAAGAAACACTGAAATTCAGAAAAGGAAATCTGACACTTGCCATCTCAAGTTATAGTTCCCATAGATATCCTTCCCACTGACTCACTCTGGTACATGCAGCCGCTCCTGTGAACACGACAATGAACCTTCGGGTTCCATAAAACGCTGGGAAATTCTTGAGTAGCTGCAGAATTGGCGGCTCCTCCAGAAGGGCTCAGCTCCATGAGTTGTTGTTGTTATTAGAGGGGGTGGGTTTCCCCATGCACCGCCACCAGTTTGATCTATTGTGCGTCCCCCTATGATTTTCTACCAGTCTCTATACTCTACCGGTACTGGCGCTTACCATCAGTTCCGACTCAGCCAGCGCGGTCGCCCTCTACTGGCTCAGAGGTATCT